AGGATGCTATCCTTAAAATATCTGACCGAATTTTTGTTCAATAATTAACGGCCCACAATTTATCTCTCACAACAGACCTGATGAGGATGTTGTATCTGATACAGTCGAAGATAAAATATTGATGTAGAATATTCTTGCAGATGAGATTTTTTTTTTATCCTCAACATGCATCTGTGTATGGAATAAGATCTGGTCAATTAAATGGTCTTCATGTATTCGAGAGGTGTTAGTATCAGCAAGTTACCCACAAGAAATAATCTAAAGGCAATTTACAAGCTCCAACCTTACTATGTATATTGTATCATTTTAAAAGAATATGTTACTTCTATACATAATAATATACAGTGAATAAATTAAAAAGATGGTTTATATGTTTATAAATAGTGAATGTGGTACATGGGTAGTACACTATAAAATTCAGCTGACACCCATATTGTCAATATAGCACAATATTACAACCTCAATTTTATAATTTTTAATCCCACCTATAGGACAATGTTTGTTAATATACACAATATCAAAAGGATGAAAAGGATAGGTTATTTATTGCATAACGCTGTTATATATATCGGGTGGCCCAGAAAAAACGATAACACTTTTGATTTTAGGATTTTTCAAAACATATTAAACCTAAGGCCATGATATTTAATCCTCATAGTGATATGTTTATAATAATTATGGGACATCATTTCACCAATTTAAAGCTTTCTATGAGTTAAACCATTTTTAAATACCATCCTTTTTAAAATTCCTTGTCTAAGAATATAAAGCCGAAAGTAAATACTTTATTTCTCGTCTTTCATTGAACTAATGTCCAATAAGGGCAGCATTTTCAGCAAAAACAAACCCCAAAAATCTTTTTCCATGCAAAAATTACCTTCTGAATTTTTTTAATTCGAAATATTTCATACAAAGGATGACAGCAAAACTCCTGATAACAATCAAGACTACTTGAACAAATCGAACAGGCAATATCCTGTCATGGAAAAAAGGAATTCTAGGTGGGGGCTATATTGAGCATTTATTCAATTAAAGATGTGAAATTATGGTAAATAGTTTCGGCATTATATTTGTTTTACGTGTAATTGGCTGGTATTCAAAAGCTGTTTAACCTGCAGTGGTGTGATTTGGTGAAGAGATGTCTTATATCCCTAAAAATATGAGATCAAAAAATTATAATCATAGCTTTGATAGCTTTTATCGTTTTTTTAGCACCACCCGATGCATACTCTTACATGTATCTTAGATAAGACAAGAAAATGTTGTAGCACTACATTACACTATTTTTTTTCTTATGTTCACAGTTAATGATCCTTTCTACCAGCTGGTCCTTGGTCAAACCTCTTGGCAGGATTATCCGTACCCATTTACAGCTGGATCGACTGGTCGACTGGTTCAACCCTCCATTCAGTAAAAATGTTTCTACAATTATTGTTAATAAATTTTTGAATCTTCTAACAGAACACTTCCTAAGAATTTATAAAAAAATTTCTTTCAGAATTTATTTTTGGAGCATCGCCCGAAAATACTACTTGTCTACCCGAGGTCTGTTATGACTGTAGGTACCTTGGGTTAAATACCAAACATCTTATCGAAGCCCTAAAAGAAATCAGGCTGACAACTTAAAATGTTTGCTATGTATTCGATTCTTATATATAATATCAACAAGGTTGATGACCCACTAACTCTGATATAAATCTTTTTTATTGTGTGAATTGGTTTTCATTTGATCATATCACAAGTAATAAATCAGTTTTTATAACATAGAATTTATGCTTTGGTAGTATGCTATATATTGTGGCTGCATAGAAAATTTGACGCAATGAAATTTAGATCTCGTTTCCAGTAGGTTTAAACACAATATTATTGCTGAAAAGCATGATTTTTTTTAGTCAAATCCATCATCGTCTGGGTTAACCCAGAATGAGATTATTCCTACTCTGGGTGAAATATTATTAAACGAGATTCATCATCGTCTGAGTTAAACCTCACTAAAGGAGATTCATCCTAGTCTAGATTAAACCTTCTTTACATGAGATTCATCCTCGTGTTGGTAAAATCATATTGAATGAAATTATCAACGTCTGGCTTCAACTTAACCTCACTAAAGGAGATACTTCCTAGTCTAGATAAAACCTTATTTACATGAGATTCGGCCTCTCTGAATGAGATTCATCTTGAATTGGGTTAAAATGTTATTGAGTGAGATTCATTCTCGTCGGAGTTGTAAACGGATCGATTTTAAAAAAAAAACAACCATTGGCGCATAGTTCATAGATAGGGTAAGATGCAATGACATACAAAAGGTTTTATCACAGGAATTCAATTAAGTTATTTCAGTTAAGTCTTTCGTCTTTGTGTGAGACTTTGTTACTCGTGTCATGATATTATTATACTTAAACGTCGTTCACTCATTTAGTCGATGTTTTAAACTGCATGTCGTGGTTAATGTGTCTATTATTATAGATAAATGCAAATGGTGTGCATAAAGCTTGAAAAGTTGTAAAAAGTTGTAAAACCACTTTTAATAAACCTATATTATATTGTATGTTAAGGACAGTAATAAAAATCTGTAAAAATAAATGGCCGAGGGGGTTTATCTCAGATATAAAACATGATGTTTAACTTGTCTAAGGGTTATGATAAGATATTTGTAATGTCCAATACAACTCGTATAGAATGTTATATTATAGCCCTACATAACGTTACAATGTCAAAATAGGCTACAATATCATTGAACATATTGAAGGTTTGGAGCCTGTTTGTTATTCAAGAGACTATATTATAGACTATACCCCTCATTGCACACCACTATCAGTTTCTATTAGTCCAATTTTATGAAGAAACGGAAGCCTTTATTTATAAATGAATAGTTTAGGCTATAGATAGTGGGTAAAAGGCCTTCTGTGATAAAGCACAATTTGCGATTAGTGATCATCAAACATTTAGTTTTAGTTGAATTTCAGGAATTACCATATAGGGCCTTCGTCTGATTGAAAACTGGAATGGTGCAAATTGATGCTATCAGCGTCCCCTTTAAGTGGATTTCTGGAGAAAATTATATTTGTTCGAATTTCGTGATTTAACAATTAAAGCTTTATATCCTGTTTAAATTAGGAGTGAGTCCATATCACTATAACTAAAAGGGAGATAGTCGAGAAATTTCATTTAAAAAGAAACTTACGCTACATATCAATTTAGGTCTTGCAAATGTCAATGAATACGGTGGTTGGTATACCACATCATTTATTTTTTCAATTTTGAATTAAAAAACTGGAATATAAAGAAGGATGTGTAAAAGAAAACTATTATGGACCTGTGAGAAGAACGTATGAAGGTAGATGCCGGGTAGTGAAGTGCATAATCAAGAAAAGGGCGTGTTTGAAGAATGGTGGATGAAGAAGAAGACCTACTGTTTCTAGATTTCTGGAAACTTAACAGTGCCAGTAAAATAGGAAAATGTTTTTGCGCCCCAATTGTACCCCTCTTTGTCTTTTTTAACAAATTTAAGAAGTAAGATTTTATACTTTCACCCAAAATTATTTGTCAGATTGCACCAAATTAATTCAACTTTTTGGGGAGAACCCTCTCAGACGCTCTATTGCGACATGACGACTGCGCTTTTGAGACCCCCCCCATTGGGTCATCCTGCTTATATTTTTTTTTGGGGGGGGGGGGGGGAGGTTGGCCTCCACTTTCCATACGATTTGAGCTACTGGAACTTTTGATTCATCGTAAAATTTTTCATAGGCTATCATATAAAAGAAAAGACCTGTCGCCTACATAAGGCCTAAAGCCGCGTCAAGTAATGAAAATATAATGCCCATTTCCATTCCAAGATCTTATCCATTCATTGATTGTTTGAATACCCATCAAAGCCTATACGCATGGCAGATACAATGAGCTATTTAATTCCTTGGACGCTTAAGTTAACTTGGATTTTCGTTTCTAATGACATCAAACTTATAGTAGCCTAATAATCCATACTTAAATTGACGTTAATTAGGGTAGCAATTTCTTAGATTCTTCTTCGGACAACTTATTTATTTCCGTATTTAGGCTAATCTACATAGGCTTATGTAATTTATGTGTTTCAAATTCTTCATTTGAGGAATAATGCGGATTATCATATTATAGGGATATATTATTATTAGCAAATAATATAATATAGTCTGTGTTGGGTGTTATTGAAGATACTCTCCTATAGGCCAAGTTCACACGAGGAGAACCTACTCCTTTTGCATCAATTATCAATTTGAGTAATAGAATTAAATTGAAATGATACTAAAATGTAAAATGATTCGCGATTGGTCTCTCTTTCTTGGGAAGTATATGGAACGCATTTTGTGTTTCACAAACAAATTGAACCAGTGGCGTTTCTATGTGGTGGTGATGGTGGTGGTTTGGGAGGTTGTGGTTTGGGAGGTGGTGGTTTGGGAAGGGGGGCGGGGGGTGGGGTTGCATGAAAAGGAGCTGCCCCCCCCCCCCCTCACCTGCCCACTTTTTAATTTGTTATCATATCTGTCAACATCGCATTTTTTTTTACTGCAAAAAAGAACGTATACAGCAATGAGGCCCTTGTCCGCCCACTATAGCCTACGTGAAACCAAAATAAAGGATTTGAAAAAGTGTTCCGGGTCTATATTTAGGATTATTGCTTTATCTTATAGGCCTAGCACCTTTTTCTAATCGGATAAATAATTAATACGCATTGTATAGGCTATTAGAGGCCTAATCTGGTTGTGTATTACAAGTACCGATTAATCGACTTCCTTCAATCCATTTTAAATGCTTAACACGCTGGCCATTAAAGCATGAATCTAAATTCTTAATCAGCCTACAATTTTTCTGAATGATTAACACATATAGTAAATATTTCCATATTTGGAACATGAAAGCAAAATATTAACCAATCAGAACTCGACATTATCAGTCTAAATCCGGAATAAAATACATAATCACGTGACTGTCCCACCCAGAACTCATTGCATACTGTGTCAAGATGGCGAATCAGTTATCAGACGAACAAGTCGCGGAATTAAGAGAAGTTTTCAAAACGGTAAGGCTTATGGATATTTTTTTGATGTTAGTTTATTTTGAGGAATACACATTTCTTCATAAACTTATAATTTAATGTTGGTTATTCAATGGCAAATAAGAGAAAAAGTCGTTTATGTGACAAACGGAAGTCCCTATGACTCGACTGGGACCTGTTCAGTTAGCCGACGTTTCGGTTCAATGTGTTTCTTTTTTTTTCTCATCTCATATGAAGAAAAGTTAATGTCTAATTTGGGTTTGTCTTCCAAATAAGACCTTTTTTTCATGATGAACTTTATTAATTATTTTGTTCAATGTAAAATAACTATGAATGATTTTAAAGACAGTCTCAAAAAATAGACAAAAATTCTGTAGAGTGGTAGCCTATATATTTTATAGCCTAGAAGTTAAGATGGGATGGGTGTGGATATTCTCAAGTCTGTTGTTAGTTGTAGATTCTTGATTATTTTATGGTGCAACTTTGTAAGCTTTTGTAACTTTTTGTAAGCTAAGGCCTACACACTGACAGCAGCCCAGTTAGGCTTTACTAAGTACTTCGTTTCAAAATTCAATTAGGTAGAATCAAAAGCCTAGTCCTTCTAACACTTGACTTAGGCTGGAAAGGCCTTCTCAACACCTGTCTCCTGAAACAGGCATAGAGAGTGGCAATAACCCCGGTGGTCCACAACATAGTTGAGAATTCCAAAGGAAAGGGACTAATCTACAAAAAAAAAAAAAACAACTTAAAAATGGTAATTGTAGATTTCTGATACGGTATCATTGAAGTGACACTAATGACATAGGGAAATTTCCTCATTCACTTTATATTTATCTCATAATTCTCATTGAATACAGATTTTACTCATTGATCTTTTAATAGAAATTCACAAGTTCAATTTGTATTATAAAATCTTGTTCAAATTTAAATTTCAACAGATTCATTGAGTTCTGAAAAGGTTGTGGTAATATGTAGGAATAGAAAACACATGTTTTTGTCTCTTTGATATTCACAGAACCAGAAAGAGTCATTTCCTGATATCATGATTCAAGATTAGAATTACACTGTTCTGTCACACACATAAACACATGTTCAATGAGGAAAAGTTAATGTTGCCTGGCTAGTGAGTTATTATATAAGGAAATAATATTATGATGGTGTTTTGACTTTTATTATAAAAATTTGATGTTTATGTGTGTCAGCTGTGTTGAGATTTATGACTGAGTGTGAATCTCTGTATTTGGTTGTGAATGTTCTAACAATCTGAATATATAGATCTTTAGATTTACCTGATGCAAGTTACTCAAGAGTAACATCTATGATTTGAAAATTCTTTTTACTTTATGTTTTGACCCGTTAGTGTTAAGGATCGTTTAGAGAGTTTTATCAGTTCGATGATTTAATGACCAAGAACATGATGTTCATAAAAATATCATCAGATCATAGCTGGTAAATGAACCAGGTACGAGATTACATGACTTTGACTTTGATTACCTTTTTTGCTAAATTTTAGTAGTCTACCATATTCAAGTCATAATTGAAAACTATGTCAACATAGAAATTTTTGACTGACAAATTAATTTGAAGTAACAAGAAAGGTTATTATAATGAATTAATCTGTCCTAGTAAGCTTGTACATGAGTCAGAATACAACCAGCTTGACAGCATTATGAAAAGATTTATAAGAAGTAAACTAAGTTATGAATTATAAAATGTGCCAAAAATCAATAAGTTGTATAGATCTATTACTGTAACTTAGATACATTTTGTCAATAATTGCTCTCCATTATTTATTTACTTCCCATTTAAAATGGCCCCTTGGGGCATAGTTTAATTATTTAAACAGGGAAGTTATTTTGTAACAGTGTCTAATATCAATTGAATTTTTATGATAAAATTAAAAGTGGCAGAAAATTTATTGATTGGCGATATTTCTATTTCTTTTCACAAATTCAAATACGCATTTTGTAAAGATATCAATATTGCCAAATCTTTCCAATGATATTTTTTCGTAAATCTTCCTCATTATGTGTTTAATGTGACATGCCAATGAATTTGTTGGCAATAAAGATCAATTCATTGTTTTGTAATATTCCATGGGCTTTTAAGAGAAGACTTTTAAAAGAAGGTGTCAAAATGCCCTCCATTTTTATTTAAAGTCAGCATGTAACAGTTGACTTCAACGTGCAGAGATTGTTTAATTTAAATTAGCAACACTGCACATTTTTTTACTGTCTTGAATTTGATATAGTAATATTATAAGATAAGATTCAAGTGACCTAAAAAGCTTGAATGTCTCAGGTTTAAGGTTATTTCTTACAAACCCTATGATAGTTGAGTATGGTAGTTAGTGAATGAGATTATTAGCAATATACCTTAATTTAGATAAGTGATTTTCTACTAAGTTCTCGATACACTCTTACAGTGTTATTGACAACTAGTGCTGAGAAGAGATTTTATACATTTTCCATCATATGATGAAAAATATGTGGATTCTTTTCTGAGTACGAACAATGGATACATCTGTGTCAATTAAGCTTACATTAAAAGAATTATATTCATTCAATCTCAGATTTGCATATGAATTTGAAAGAAGCTAAATTTTAAAAGTAGACATGTTTAAGCTTATATACATCCAACCCTAAAATGATTTATTTGACTTCAAAATTTTATTTTTTACTTTCAAATGATTCAGTGGTTATAATTCTTAAACGTTTCTTGGAAAAACAATCAACCAACGATCAAACCTATTGACTTTGAACTATGAATTTAAGTTATGGTTTTATGCAAATGTTTATCAGGTGAATTCCAACTTTTATTATACTAGATAAAAAGATTTATGACAATAGAAACTATAAGCTTATTTGGTAAGTAACTTTTAAACTTTAATAGACATATAAATCCTATTGTCAGTATACATCAAGAAAAATGAATTTTGTATAATGAGGTAGAAAAAAAACTATTTTATTGGGTTACTTTATACACTATACACTTTGACTGAAAGATCGGGACTTAAGGCTTTTTCTATGGGTACTTGGTATATGAGTGCTAGTTTAGCTTTTCTTTGGATTTTGAGGTCAATACATACCCAGTAATTTCCAAAAACCCCTAGCTTGACCTCATATTTTTCTTTTAATTTAGGTGGCAAAATAGAATGCTCGTGTGAATACCTAAACTTAAGCTTAAAGGTCTACAATATGATAATGTGTCCAAACTAGAATTAAAGTTGTGATAATGGCTATTTACACCTTATATGATAATGATTATCTATAATTATGTCATAATGAGAATCTATTACACAATAGGTTAGAGATAATAAAGGCTATGACCATGGTTATTAGATCTTTCTGTTATCTCTAGGTTTACAGTTTACTGCCCAACCCAAATCTTAAAGCTAGACCTCATCGCCCCTTTAAACCATTTATTGCTGCAAAAAGAATGAAATTTAGGCTGGACTTTACACCTTTTTATTTTTTTACACATTATTAGGCTATTACTATAACCATTTTCTTTGGTTATTCAGTAGATTTAAGTCACATTGTGTTCATATTTTAGGGGAGCTCGATTGTGGCTGATCTATTGAGATACTTTGAAAGCAGTAAGTCTGCTGAATGACCCCATTTTCACCGTGTCAAGCTATACTGGTAACAAACTTCCTTTTATACCTTGACTGCAATAGCCACCATTCTTGTGTCATTGGATGTAGCAATTTACAAACTTCTGTGACACACGAAAGGTGGCTAAAGCTGTCAAGGTGTAGGATAAAGTTCATAATTGCTTGACATTCTGAAGATGGAATGACCCCATATAAAAATAGCAAGCTTGTCTTTGAAGAAGTATCAAAAAGCAAACTGTTTCAATAGGGCTCTGAACTTTTGCATTGTATTGGTATTGTTATTGAATTAGTTTTCTGACTATTAGTACAGAAATAGGTAGTTAAATACTAAAGGAATGTACAATATTGTTTAAATAAGACCTGTTTTAACTATGTAATCTACACTTCAATAGGTTTTTATACTTGAAATATCTATGTCTACTTTCGCTTTATTGACTTAGACTGTTTTAGAATGCATCAAAGTTTTCTTGTCACTTGGTAGGTTGAGAGAGATGCTATGTTGTTAGTATTAGTCACAACTGACTTAAAGGGATAGGTTCGCCATCCTTTTGACCAATCGAACGTCTAAGAAACAGGAATGTGTCTAGTTTATTTAGCTATATATCAGTTATAGTGTTCACAGCTCTGCCATCAAAATTCTGGTACCTCTGGTACCTCTGAAGACTATTCATATTCATTCAAGACTCAAATCAACCCCCGGAAATGGCGAACCATGGCCTTTAAGGCTAGTGTTTGTTAAAAGAGGTTACATTACTTAATGGAAGTTTGACAGTTGAACCAGATTTTAACAAGTTGGCTAGATATAGGATCAAGTTGACAAGATTTCAAACTCTTTCACTCCTCTGTCAGAATTTGTATCATTTTGTTATGTGCAGTTTGTTTTCTTCAAGATGTATTTTGGTTGCATTCCTGGTGTTTTAATCTGTTCTTGTTTGGCTGTTGAATTTTACTTATGACATATTTGAAAATATTAGAGAGGCCATTACCTGGAGTTATATTTCATCAATAAGTCAGCCTTTTATACTATCACTCTTGATTTTGTTGAACCTGATCACATATTTTTAAGCTTACTGAATAAGCAATATTCGTTATATGGATTTTTCAAAATCTGGTTGTCTGCACAATGCAGGGTGTTGCAACTTCATTACTCAATCACATGCAAAAAAGTATGATGTAAAACCCATTCATTTTATTTCATTTTCATTTCAAAAGAGATGTTAAGTTGACAAACCAAATCACAGAGTGAAATGTGAGCAAATATCTCACCAATCTGGTCAATAAGCTTATAGTATGATTTTAACATGGCGAATGGTCATCCTATGTGAGATGTACGTCATTGTGTAATTTTAAGTTTCTACTGTCTTCAAAGTCAAACCCTGGGGGTGATTTTAGATCCTCCCAGGTGATA